TTATCAGCTTGGTAGCTGGATCATAAATGAAAATTATCAAACACAAGCCTAGAAAAATGGCTAACCGTTAGCTTTCTGTTGTGGGGCAGGTAGACAATATAAGACCAGGGTTAGTGGGGCGGATCCAGAGATATTTTCTGACAGTCTTCCAAAGTATATTTGCTGATTCATCGTCCATTTTTGACCGCCTTCCGACAGAAAAAATTATAGCCATCAATATAAACTTGGAAATCTGACCGTCTTCCGGAAGACCCAGAAGACGGCCTCAATCCGCTCCTGATATAGACAATACCAACTCTGTCATTTCTAAACATGTAATAAACACCGACCACAGTACTGACTGGAATTCAACCAAGATCCTTGAATCCGACTCGTCTGATATCCTACGTAAGATACAAGAGGCTATCAACATCAGCCGTCACCAGCCACCCATGAATAGGGTCGGGAAGGTCGATCTACCTGACATTTATAAGAGGGTCGTGGCCTCTATATACTATAAAGTCAAACTTAAAATGATGACAGTGAGTATCAACATCTACGTACTCACGTCAGTCTGATGAAGGCCAACGTCCACGTGTCCATTAAATATATTTATTTTGCTTTCAGGATCGACGAAATAAACACCGGGAAAAAGAAATAACAACCAAAAAATCAGGACAGGATACATAGCTATTTTATTAATTTAAGAACCACATTTATGATAAATATTCATTTGGACATTCATTGGACATTTTATATGAATTAAGTATATCAATTGAAAATAAATTAATTTGGGCATTGCGTTTGGTTATTTTACTGCTTCACCTTTCCTGCTCCACATTTCTTTTGATATTTATGATTCTAAACACAAAAAAGCCTTGTCGTACTTAGGTGAAGTACGAACAGAAATGGACATCGACAACGTCTTACAGTTAATTCATTATTTTCATGTTTTTTTATATATTTTCAATACAAAATACCACATTACCAAACTCACGCGTTGGCCACAAAGATACACGACCAGCTGTAATTATTGGTCTATTTTATGGGTATCAGAACATGCTTCGTCAAAAAAGCTACTACTTTTGTGTAGTTCTGGAGGTAGTTTATGTGTCAGGAAAAATATTTCTGCATGTTCGGATCAACTCTGGCAACGGATGACAAACAAACCAAACCATCTTAACAAATTATAATTTTACAAAACGTTATAAGAAATATCTCATTGGTGATTCTTCTCTTTTCGACTAAATGCCCTTCAATATCGACATATAACTTTTAAAAAAAGATAAGTATTCGTTTTATGTAAGGAGGAAGGTTTTACCGCCTAATTTGTTTTACAACTGCACTACAAAAGTGAAACCAAAAATGATGTATTATTCCACTTATATATTATTTAGACTGTTTTGGCATAATTAATGATAATTACCATTTTACTTAATTGGTATAGATAGGGATGTACGTTACTAAAACGAATGAACATAAAACATACATGTTACGAGCTGAATACACGCACACCTACAAATGGACAAAGTTATCTGGACAACGGTACATAAAACAAAAATTATTTTGGTTAAATCTCAGCAATTGTCAAGAAATAAAACCACGTCTTCATTCCGATGATTTGTATCTTTCGTTACTGCATCTGTCGATACTGTAATTTTGTCATTGATCAAATGTGAAAGTGAATATATTGTTTTGATTTGGTTCGTAAAAAGACATGGTCGCCAAACAGAATGGTAAATCACAGGCTGCAAACTAACACCGCTTTTTGTTAGTCATATACTGGAAGAAATGTCATATTACCCAACGCGTCATAGGGTTTTCATTATGTTTAACCCCTACATGTACGTCTTGTATCAAAGTAGGGCTGAGATTCACATTTGAATACATTTATGAAATAGCTTACTGGTCTCATAGCTTTTGTTGGATAATTTGGTTGTTTATATACTCCAACACTTTCTCGCCCACACCTAGCTGTTAGAGAGAGAGAGAGGGAGAGACAGAGAAGCTAGACCGATACCACTAATGGAATGATTTGATTAAGATTCATTTACTCAGACTTAATCATGTCTGATGACAAAGTCCATAATAAACAAATCCACTTATCAAGCATCGCTTTCCATGTAGTCATGTACTGGTCATATAATGGAAGGGTCATACGGGTTTCCTGTATATTTAATTCTCACGTCCTGTTTCAAATTTGCACTGGAATTATCTGGGTGATGCAGGCAAAATAGCTGGTGTAAGATGCTTTCATTGGTTGAATGTTTGGTTTGTTTTGGCTGTTTTTCCGTCACTTTGTCTTTTTCACACACACGCACACGCGAGAGAGGGAGAAAAATGACAGCTACATGTACATTGCTGTCACGGAAAGAAGGATATCAAATATTTCATTTAACTGAGCAATGCAAATATAATATTGCAATGCTGTTATAGACCGTAATAAACTCTGGTTGAATACGTTTGACTATCTCTCACTATCTTGTCCCAATCCAGCAGTTTATGTGGCGCACAGACACAAACACGAGAGAAAGAGAGAGAGAGAGACTGAATTTCATCAAATTTTTTCGTAAGAACTGGGTCAATTCGACCCGAATTTCGACTCGAATTTTCTAGATCAAATATAAAAATACAAGTTTCATGCTGAACGAAAGAAGCCAATGAAAGACCGACAAATGGCGTGTGATAATAAACTGGGCATCCTATAGTCAAATAAGCACTATCGTGATTACAAAATCGTGATACCCTGCGCCGAAAGCTCGGATTGTATTTAACAACTATAATGTAGATGAAGGCCCAGGGGCCAAAAGCTCGGATTGTATTTAACAACTATAATGTAGATCAGCCAAGACGGTGTGAAACGATATGATACGCATGCTTTTCCTATTCAAACTGTATGGATTTCAAAAATTCAATTAAACTATATGTGTAAAATGATAAAACGTGACTGACATTTTTAATTTCCTTGCAATATCTATTTTCAGACAAATGCGAGGAGGACAGTAATATTGGGTACTGCGAAGATAACCCTGGCGATCTGTCTGGCTTCCGGTGCAATTGCTTTGGCTGTTTAGGAAAGAGATGCGAATTTTGTAAGCAGTATCTTTGTTTCACTTACTGTCGTCCTTTGTGGGTAACAGGCCATAGTTATGAACAGTAAAATGTAAGAAAGCATGTTTATCATTGCAACTTTTGATACCAGCTGATATGTTTCATTTAATACATTTTATCCATAAGCATCGTGTCTTCTTCTGTATGTAAATATTTTATTTATTTATTCATCGGTTAATTATTTATTTATTTATTTATTTTAGTTCTTGCTGCAGAATGAACAATATCAGGCCTACCCAACTACCAGACTCGGCACCGAATGATCCTGAATTCACTGGTAGATCAGACCACACTACCCGTTTTCAAGGTGTGAGTCAGTACGCATTACACAGTATCATACCCTGAACAAATTTGGAGTGGTAATGCAATGCTTTTCAACCCCGCTGAGAATCGTCACTATCACATCGCGTACTAGGCAAGAGCGGTGTCGCGTCTGATGCTGTGAAATGCGTACTGATACACACCTTGAAAACGGGTAGTGTGGTCCGATTTACCGGTGTTTTGATTTGGTTCGTGGAAAGACATGGTCGCTAAACAGTGTGGTAAATCAGAGGTCGTAAACAAACATTGCTTTCCATTAGTCATATACCGGGAGAAATTGCATATTACACAACGCGTCATAGGGTTTCCATTATGTTTACCTCCGACGTCCTGTATCAAAGTAGCGCTGAAAGTAACCGGATGATGCAAATAAAATAGCTCACTGGCCTGACAAGCATCTTTTTGTTTACATTTTGGGCTATTATTCCAACAATTTCTCCTCACCTAGCTGTTTAGGCATGCACATTGCACACACACACACACACACACGAGAGAGAGAGAGAGAGAGAGAGGAACGATTTAATTTTTAAAAGTTTCATTTACTCAGACTTAATCATGTCTGATGACAAAGGCCAAATTAGCATAATAAACAATACCATATGACAAGCATCGCTTTCCATATAGTCATATACTGGTAGTAATGTCATATCATCCAATGCGTCATACGGGTTAGTTATGTTTACTAGGACGTCCCGTATCACAGCATCACTGAAATAAACTGGGTGATGCAAAAAAAATCTCGCTGGTGTGAGAAGCCTACTAATATTTGGGCTATAATTCCAACACTTTCTCGCCCTCACCTACCTGTTTAGGCACACACAGTAACACAGAGAGAGAGAGAGAGATGGAGAAGCGAGAGAGAGAGGAAAGCTAGACCGATGCCAAGGATAGAAGGATTTATTTACTTGGACTAAATCGTGTTTGATGACAAAGGCCAAATTCGCCTTCAGAATAAATAATGCGACTTCACAAGCTTCGCTTATCATATAATCATATACTGTAAGCAATTTCATATCATCCAAAGCGTCATATGGTTTTCCATTATTTTTAATTCCGTCGTCCTGTATCAAAGAGGCACTGAAATAAAGTAGGTGATGCAAATTAAATAGTTCACGGGTGTGAGAGACCTTTTTCGGTTGAATTTTTGTACAGTATGTTTTGGTTGTTATCCCATCACACGCACACGCACACACACGCACACACACACATACGAGGCCAATAGAGTTGAGGCAGAAAGAGAGAGATGGGGGGAGAAAACTGGCAGTTGGATAGCTGCCACTGAAAGAATATCATAGAATTAATTTAACTAAGCAATATATATATATATATATATATATATATATATATATATATATATATATATATATATATATATATATATATATACTCGCACAGGAAAAACGTTTACTTTCAATATATATATGATAAAAAAGAAATAATGAACAGCAGTTATTTTGCCCCGACTTCATCGCATCTTCAGGGGAATACCCCCTGCTCATGCAATGAAACCGGTGGGTGGAGTATCGATATTAAGATAAGCACTTTCGTGATTGGATGGCTTCTCGTGTGCCATGTTTTTCACGAGATGCACTGATGTACCGGTTCTGACAGTATATTATAACCAGTAGATGGGGAGACATTTCATTTCCTGAACTGATTTCAACGAGGAAAAACGAGGTAAGTTTTATGTTAACTGTGAAATAATTTGATCGGTGCAATTCCCATGCACACACCGATTGTTGCTTAAGAAACAGTGAAATATTTCTCGGTGGTTCTGGTTGAGAGTAATGCTTCTTCTCAAATATGTGTTGTTCATGTTTGGCCAGGAATCCAACGGTCCTAAATCGTATTTCAATGATGTCATTATACATTTATCTCTACAGACTATCAAGCAAATATATTTGACATTCTACTGGCGTGCTAATGAACGCTCGTCGATCCTACAGGTATCTTATCTGAGACAAATGGATTATACGCATTTCCGCTAAACGAAAAATGGCGGACATTTACAGAACCTGCGATTGACTTGCAAAGTTGGTTTTTAACATTATTCGGGTATTTTAAAAACCTTAAAAGATGAGCACGATCGGGACTTGATGGGTTCTCATATCAGTAGTGGATTTATTATTTTTTGTCCTGTAGCAGACGCAGGTCCACAGCACCAAAACCGCCTTAATTTCCTGTCACTGATGCTTGTTGCTATGGGCACAAGCAAAACCTGACTTTTGGCCATTTTTTTAAAGCGGGAGAGTTGAAAATTCCGAAAACTGGTAGATTTTGAAGCCTTATTTCTGAAATTTGAAACTACGTGCATAATTACAGACCAATTCTTAGAGAATTTAATCCCAGAAGTGGTGTTTTGCAAAACTTCAGATTCCTCATACGTGGACCATAATAATATTTGGTTCTTAATAACAATAACAACAAATCCTTTATCGTTTTAAGTGGCCAAGTTTAATTTTTCTTTTTTTTTTTTTTTGGATAAGATGGTATTCTATATACAAAATATTATTCGCTTGAACATTTCCAGAAAAATAGGTTTCTGAAAAGCCCTGCAATCCCCTGGCAGACATAGACTTCTATCTTTTCTGTTATCGACTGAATCCATCTTTTATTAACTGCCATGTTGAATGAGTTGTTCCCCTAACCAGCACACAAACCTGCTACCATGGTACTTTGGAGAGACTGTAAAAATGATGAATCACGCACACGCACAGGCAACTGCGAAAGGGTTGACTCACCACAGAAAGTAAGCCCAATTATGTTTAAAGATTGTCAAACATGTATGACGATGTTGGAATTTCACCATTTTGTTCTTCTGAATATCTTATTTTATTCCAGAATAGAAGTGCTATAAAAGAGTACTGTATCTAACATCAACCAACCAATAATGGGATTGTTGTTCTGTCCGAGCCTTGCCCTGGCCTTGATGGCGTGCGTCTTTCTCAGTCAGCCTCAGCTGAGTCAAACTTGTAAGTGTATAGATACCTCGGTCGTTAGTACTCTCGTTACTCACCGTAGTCTCGAAACTTGCGTAAAAGTGAAAGCACTAACTTTCCATTTTTTGGCTGGAAATGCATAAGAACGTCTGCTTTGAGGTCATCGTAAAGAATCTCTACCACCTTTTTGCCGCTCTTTTTGTTACAGCTAGGCGCAACCTCTCTTAAATTACATCATCGTGTGTATATTCTGATAGATTCTGCCTATCATGAAAATGTCGCAGTCTATGTTGCCATCTGGCGGTACAGATAGCAAGATAGGCAGCTGCCATATTGTATACAAAGGCAAACGGCAGACAATGTGAACTAAGCAACCTTTTTTATTTCACTCATCATGCAAGGTAAATACGAGACAATAATGAGCGAGAGATCTTGAGTGAGAGATCTAGCGATAGCTTCGTGAAACGGCACTCGTAACTAGCGAGGGGCTAAATACCTACCGCTAACTAACTACTGCTTCGTGAAATACAGCTAGGCCCCAGATGGATCGATCTAATTCTGCGGGAACCCAGTCTTAGACATGGCGTACAAGCTGTAACAGTGTGAAAATGATAAAATATGCATGGCCTATCTATTCAGATTGTTTGATGTATACAACATTGGTCGGTTGCTAATTGTGTGTGAATATGGTGACATTTGATGGCGTATTTTCAATTTAATAGACATTTCTTTACATCTGTAGAAGTCACATATAAACAGTGGATTTGAGGGGGTACGTCTTATAAATTTTACAAAATAGTATAAAATATGTATATTCTCACCACTATTTTGTATTTTTAACCATTAATCATGTTAGGCACGGTATCTGTAATAAAAAGCACTATTTCTAACAAATTACGGCTGTAAGGTGATCATCTGTAAATAAAAGTACATGGAAATGGGGGTGGGACAACCTTTTTTACCAATGTTGTATGTGTGAAATGAAAAAAACATGCTTAACATATCAATTGCCTTGCAACATCTATTTTCAGACGGATGTAAACCTGACAGTTGTTATCATAATGGCACTTGCGAAGTTACTACCGACTATCCGTCGGGCTTCCAGTGCTTTTGTCAACATGACTATTACGGAGAGAGATGCGAATTGAGTAAGCAACGTCTTTGTGACACATAGGCTACTATCGTCCTTTGTGGATAACAGAAAATAGTTATACACAGTAAGATGTTAGAAAGCATGTTTACTATTACAACAAATGATACCGGCAGATGGATGCTTCATTTAATACAATGTATTCATTAGCAATGAGTCTTCTTCTATATGTTAGAGTTTTTGTTTCTTTCTTTCTTTCTTTTTTTCTTTCTTTATTTTTAGCTTCATTTATTTATTTATGTATTTATTCATTTTTTTATTTTTAGTTTTTTTTTCTGCAAAATGAATAGTATGTCATATTCGTTTGATGACGTGGGGTCGTCCAGTGTTCACAACATCATCAACATCTTATTCTGAAGAGAAAGAAAAAAAGCCTTAGCAAAAGTACGCAAAACACTGCCAGGTGGAAATTCTGTGCAAAATGAGTTCTACAGATATTAGTTGCCCTGCCTTAGTGAATGTTCGAATTACTGTATTTGAATTGAAATATCTCAACTGAAAGAGCATACATGCTAAGCATTTTATAAGCCTTGCAATATCCCCATTTCAGCTTCATGCCATCTGTTTCATAAATGCCTGAATGGCTCAGTGTGTGTATTTAATACTACAAACTCGCAATATTTGTGCATTTGCACCAGGGGTCCTTTCGCAACTGATTGCTATGGTAAGCCGTGCCTTTCTTAGATCGCATTCACAACGAGTTGAGCCAGGCTTTACAAATCCTGGAGACTAAATATGGCNGATTAGGTGGAACTTATGAAAGCACGTCTTAAAATAACGCCCATTAAAGTGGTTAAAAAAATCAAGCATTTTTTCGCGGGAGAGTGCCAACTTACATTTTTCTTTGTTTTCAGAAATGTGTGGGGAAAACTCCCACTGCATGTACGGGATTTATTCAGTGTTTAAACTATTTGATTACAACTGCGATTTACATTATGGCTATCGTTGTGTTTGCGACGAGGGTTACAGATATGATGGAGGTTTTTGCCAAGGTAAGTTTTAAATAGGCCGAATTCAGCACAGTCCCCTAATGTATTCAGTGTATAAGGCGGTCCTACTCGAAATTGCGCTGGTGTTCAGAATGAAAAAAAAAAGACAGACATGGATGAGTTGAGAACAATGACCACTGCGATTCAGGATCTTACCAATATTGTGTTTGCGACGAGGGTTACCTTAGGGACGGATTGAACTGCACCAATAAGCCTTATAGTATATTTGGATGATTGAACAATTCCGGAATTTGAAATTGGACATGACGAAAGTACAGGAGTCTTTTCCATAGGCATTTTTTTGGACTAACATTTTAGACCCCAGAGTTTTAGCAGATTTTAAAATTTTAAACTATATGTGTGATACGATAAAGCATGCCTAATAGTTAAATTGGTTTGCAACATCTGTTTTCAGAGATATGTCACACTGATAGTTGCTTTCAAAATGGGTTTTGCGAAGTTAATCATGAAGAACCGCTTGGTTTCAAGTGCGTTTGTGACCCTGGTTTTTTCGGAGAGAGATGCGCATTGAGTAAGCAATGTCCTCGTGACATTTACTATCGACTTTTCTGGACAACAGGAAATAGTTATACACAGCCAAATGTTAGAAAGCATATTTACTTTTGCAACAATTGATACCAGCAGATATGCTTAATTAAATAGTAGTGTGTCTACCCAAAGAGTTATTTATGTAAGAGTTATTTATTTATTTGTTTTTAGGTTTTTACTTTGAAACGAACAGTACTCCATTATCGCTTGATGGCGGGGGGGGGGGGGTCCAGTGTTAATTCATACAACACAGTATTGATAACATTAAGTTTAAGTGCTTTTTTGATCTGAAGAGTAAGAAAAAGGGCTGAGAAATGTACACAAAAAATGGCAGGTGTAAATTCTGTACGAAATGAATTCTGTAGATATTAGTTACGCTGCCTTAGTAAATGCTTAAATTATAAGAATTGAAATAACTTTTAATGCTTAGCATTTTATAGCACTTGCAGTGTCCTCATTTCAGGTCTGTGCCTTTGGAATAAATGCTTGAATGATGCAACGTGTGTAGTTAATACTATAAGTGCGCGATCGTGGTGCATTTGTGACGAGGGTTATTTCGGAACATTGTGCGAAAAAGGTAAGCCGTGCCCTTCTAATACTGCACACATTGTGTATCTCAGTATTAACATATATCTATGTTGTGAAGCATGCAGCAAAGGGAATTACAAAGCAAATTTACCAGCGCAAAAATTGCTGCCAGAAAATATGTAGCAAGTACAGTAGTAGTACCTTCTATAGACTGATATCAAGTCATATGGCTCTAGATCTCTGTTTATAAACTATAATACTATATTCAAACGATTTTGTTACGAAAACGTGTCCTATGGCTGTAGATCTCTGTTTATGATAATACAACTAACATATTCAGATGATTAGGTGGAACTTATGAAAACACGTCATAATATAACGCCCATTTAGGTGGTTTAAAATATTCAGGTATTCAGTCGCGGGCGAGTGGCAACGTACATTTTTTTAATTTGTTTTCAGCACAATGTGGGGAAAACGCACACTGCGCTGACAAGCTGCGCAATCGGCCATTGCCCGATAAAAATGACAACTGCAATTCATTATATGACCAACATTGTGTTTGCAACGAGGGTTACAGCGGGGATGGATTCAACTGCACCGGTAGGTCTTAGGTCGCATTCGGAACAGTGGACTAACTAGTCCTCGGGTCAAATATGGCCTACTCACTTGTATACTTCTCCCTAATATATTCAGTCTATATAAGTGGATTCGACGGTCCAACCCCAAAGTGTATTCAGCAAAGTGTATAGAGCAAAAAAAAAAAAAAAAAAAAAAAAACATGGGCGAGTTTAACAAGTTTAAGGTTTATACAGGTCTGTTCATAAAATTTCATTATTCTGCGTTTTTCAATATTTGATGGAAATATGTGTACTCTGAAAGGTCATTATGTCTATCATAATTATTATCAATTTCATTTTATCATTTTTATTAAAAATAATTTTATAAAAAAATAAACACTTTATAATTTTGCAAAAATGCTCATCAGCTAGGTAGTTTGATAATAAATAAAAATTAGCAAACACAAGCCGAGAAAAATGTCTTACCGTTAGGTTACTTTTGTGGGACTATATGTGAGATTAACTGTCGTGACTGCATTTTTTTTTTTTTTTACATTGGTGAGACAGATAGACAGTTTAAGACCAGGGCTATTGAACAAAGAAAACCAGTGACTGCATCGGACGTACATAGAAAATACCAGCTCTGCCACTTCTAAACATGTTATAAACACCGGTCCATCACTGGAATCCAACTAGGTTCCCTGAATCCAAGTCATCTGAGATCCTACGTAAGAAACGAGAGGTTATCATCATCAGCTGTCACAAGCCATCCATGGATAGGGACGGTGGGTCGATCTACCTGACATTTATAAGAGTGTCCTGGCCCCTATACCACCTATTGGACACTGAGTATCAACGTCTACTCACGTCATTCTGATAAAGGCATACGTCCAGGTTTGCCGAAAGCTTCCGGTATGAAAGTTTCTCGGCTTGTGTTTGACTGAAAAAAATTGTTTGTGCATTACTGAATGCACCAAATGCCCTCTAATATAAAAACGGGGTAAAGGTGTTCAGAAAACATGTTTTTTTTTTTATTTCAGAATCGGTGGAATAAAAAACCAGAATACGAAATAACAAAAAAAAAATTGCAGGAGAGGATCCGCAGTTATTTGATTTAATTACGAACTGAATGTATTATAAATACTCATTTGGACATTCATTGCAAATTATGTATGAATTAAGTTTTAATTGAATCAACTGGAAAGAAAATATTTTGGGCATTGCATTTGGTTCTTTTTTTCACATCACATTTGTTTTGCATTTTATGATTCTAAACATAAAACCTGTCGTAATTGGTTAAAGTACGAACAGAAATGGACGTTCACAACGTGCTATACGGTTAATGGATTATTTTACTTGTTTTTAGTATCTCAATACCAAATACGTACCACATTGCCTAACTCCCGCATTGGCTACAACAGACTCATAACCAGCTGTAATAAGAGGTATTCGTCAGTTTCTACTTTATTGTTGGTCCAACCAGTTTCTGTGTCAGAAAAAAGTAACGTTTAACGGGGTCTGTCGTGTATAGCAAACAGTGTATCTAGCCGAGTTACAGTATCATATTCAATTACAATTTTATCACATTGGTAAAATCCGATCTGTTCCACCCGAAAAACAGTGATGCCAATGCCAAATATTAACACTTAACGTTTAAATTCTAGATAAATATTTATTTATTATAAGGGGGAAGTTTTCATATAACTTACATTTCTCTTTTTCTTGGCCTGTTTTGGTTGAATAATATGGCTGATATTCCAACACTTTTTGTCGCATATTTTAGCTGCTAGGCATTCACAGCACACACACAAACGAGAGAGAGAGAGAGAGAGACCAATGCCAAGGATAGAATTTTTTTCGAGTTTTCGACTTGACAAGCAACGATTTGCATATAGTCGTACATGAAAAGCAATGCATGTTAAGTCGCATTGCTTATTCTGGATAATTCAATATTATCCAAAGCGTCATACGGGTTTCCATTATTCTTAATTCCTACGTCCTGTGTCAAAGTAGCACTGAAATTAACTGGGTAATGCAAATAAAATCGCTCGCTGCATGGTGTGAGAGTCATCTTTGTTGTAATGTTTTGACTGTTATTCAATCACTGTGTCACATACGCACACGCACATACACACACACACACAGGAGAGAGAGAGAGAGAGAGAGAGAGAGA